GTGCTCTACTAAGCAGCGTTGACGTGTGGTGTTGCATTTTGTCCCACAGTACCCCTGGGGAGGAGGTTTTCGTGTCCCCATCTTACAGGTGTAAGCTATGTGCGGAGCCAGGATTTGCACAGCCCTCTGAGACCTTTGAGCTGTTTCTCTGTTGATTTTACTCAGTAACTGCCACCCCGGACTCACCCTGCTCGCTCAGGACTTGGCACACAGGTTGTTAAAGAAGGCACATTCCTGCCTCTTCCCTTCCATCCAGTGGGTTGCGCCTTCTGGGTGACACAGCTCCTTATAACCATCACCAGGAGGCTAATGGCAGTACTTCAGACTGGCCAGACTGACCATCAGCTAGTACAACCCCTTGTTTTGAAGATGGGGAAACTGAGGCCCCAGGACAGGAAGACCAGCCCTCAGGGACAAAGCAGGAACCAGGATACAGGGTTTTTCCCTGACTAATCCCCTCTCAGGAGCTCTGGTAGCATAGTGTCTAAGGCACTTGACTGCTAACCAGAAGGCTAGTGGTTCAAACCCACCAGCCACTCCTCGGAAGGAAGGTTGGGCAATCTACTTCCGGAGTGATACTGCCTTGGAAACCCAAGGAGGGGTCGCTAAGAGTCAGATACGACTCTACAGCAGTGGTTTTTTTTTGTTTTTGGTAGTCCCCTCTCAGAGCCTGGGTGCTGCGTTGATTAAGCATTCAGCTCCCAACTGAAAGGTCAAAGGTTCGAACCTACAAGCCACTCCCCAAGAGAAAAGACCTTGTGGTCTGCTCCCACGAAGATTACATCCTAGGAAACCCTACGGGACAGTTCTACTCTGCCACATGGGGTCACCGTGAGTCAGAATCAACTCCACGACCCCCAACACCAGTCCCCTCTCCAGTCTACCCTGGAAGAAGCAACCATCGACAAGGAAGAAATGAAGAGCCAAACGCTCAATTAAAATAATAAATCAGGCCTAGGGGAGTTTTCATCTGATTGGCTGGAACATTATAGGAGCCCCTGCCCCCTGCAAAAAAAAAAAAAAAGGCAAACGCATTGTCATTGAGTCGATTCAGACTCATAATGACCCCATAGGACAGAGTAGAGCTACCCCATAGGGTTTCCAAGGCTGTAATCTTTACAGAAGCAGACTGCCACATGTTTCTCCCACCAAGCAGCTGGTGGGTTTGAACCACCGAACTTTTGGTTGACAGCTGAGTTCTTAACCACTGTGCCACCAGGGGACCTTATTCCTGTGGGTGAACTGCCATCCCGCTCCCCATCACCTCTCATAGCAGTTGCTGTAGCACCAGGGCTTGCTTTCCACAGTATCTGTGTGGGGGCGGGATCTCCACAGCCCTGGGCTGGGATTCTGATAGAGGAGCGGGCAGAGGACAAGTTCTTCGAGCCCTGGGTAGGGACATGAATGAGTTTGTAGTCAGGAGAGAGAAGCCTGAACAAGAGGAGGGCGTCTTGGGGAAGGTCCCCACCCGTCTGGCTGCAGGTCTCTAGGAAACAGCCTCATAGCCACTGCTGTTTTCTAGATGGGCCCACCAAGGCTGAGGAAGATTTAAGGGACTTTCCCATGGTTGAGGAGTAGTCAAATTTGCAGCTGTCCTGCAGGTTTGCCAAAGGAACTTTGCGAAAGAATCTCTCTGCCTGGGTCCCAGGGCACAGAGCTGGCGAAAGGCCCTGAGAAGTCCTGCAGTCTAGACCTTGATCTATACACCCAGAGTTTCCCACGGAGCCGTGCTCTCAGGGAGCACCAAGAGCATTGGAAAACACGACAGTGATTGGGAGCCAAACCTCAGTGCCCTTGCTTTTCGGGGGCACTTACACCCACTTGGCCAGAGCTACCATGCGGTTAACGTGTGTTGTAAATGAGCACTCAGCCCAGAGCCTGCCAAAGAGCAGGCAGGCAGCACAGGTCTGCTGAGGAAAGGAACAAAGAGATGACTGAAAAGACAAATACAGAAGTGGTCAGAGGAATGGACCAATGCAGAGTGAACAAAAGGAATGAGCGGAAAACACAACCCATCCATATGCTGCCTACAAGAGACACACCTTAGAGATAATGACAAAAACAGACTAAAAATCAAAGGTTGGAAAAAGATATATCAAGCAAATGGCAACTGTAAGAGAGCAGGAGTGGCAATACTAATTTCTGATCAAATTGACTTTAAGACAAAAACCACCATACGAGACAAAGAAGGACATTATATAATGATTAAAGGATCAATTGAACATGAAGACATAACTATAATAAATATTTATGGACCCAATGAAAGAGCCCCCAAATACATAAATCAGACGTTAAAAGAGTTGAAAAGCCAAATAGATGATTCCACACTCATAGTGGGAGACTTTAATACACCACTTTCTTTGAAAGATAGAACAACTGGAAAGAAACTCAACAAAGATGCAGAAGAGCTAAACAATACAATCCACCAACTTGGCCTTATAGACATCTATAGAGCACTTCACCCAACAGCAGCACAATATACATTCTTCTCCAGTGCACATGGAACTTTTTCCATGATAGACCATATGTTAGGCCATAAAGCAAGGCTTCATAAATTTAAAAACATTGAAATATTGCAAAGCATCTTCTCAGATCATAATGCTATCAAATTAGAAATCAATAATAGGAGGATCAGCACCAAAAGAGTAAACACATGGAAACTAAACAACACCCTCCTTGAGAAAGACTGGGTAAGAGAAGAAATCAAAATTGAAATTCAAAAATTCCTTGAATCAAAAGGAATGAGCGGATTAGAGTGCCCAAGCCCAAAATGGATTCATTCATTCATCAGATATCTATTGGGTAACTACCATGTGCCGGCTCTGGGGCTATAGCGGTGACAAAACAGAGTTCCTGCCCTGTGACTGTGACATTTAGTGAGGGAGACAAGAAACAAGATGAACAGGTAAAATACAAGGGACCTTCGGGAAGAAGGGGAAGTATGTGGGGGGTAAGTAGTTTTAAATAGGATGTCTGGGAATGATGGAGCGAATGGATAAACAAGTAAGCTAACAACAGAGCAAGCATAACTGCGGGTACGAATAAGAAGGGTATTATATGACCACAGGTGTGAATGAAGGAACTAATGAATGCATGGATGTGTGAACTAAAGCCTGGATGAGTGAATGAACTAATGAATGCGTGGATGTGTGAACTAAGGGCTGGATAAGGGAATGAACTAATGAATGCATGGATGTGTAAACTAGGGTTTGGATGAGTGAATGAACTAATGAATGTATGGATGTGTGAACTAAAGCCTGAATGAGTGAATGAACTAATGAATGCATGGATGTGTGAACTAAGGGCTGGATGAGTGGATGAACTAATGAATGTGTGGATGTGTAAACTAGGGTTTGGATGAGTGAATGAACTAATGAATGTACGGATGTGTGAACTAAAGCCTGAATGAGTGAATGAACTAATGAATGC